CCCCTCTCCCCCTCCGCGCCTCTTCCCATCGCGTCCCGTTCCCATCGACTCGGTTTCCCCTCGCCCTCCTCCTCTCCCTCTCGTCGTCTCCCCCACCCCCCTCGTCCTCTCCCCTCGCCCCTCGTCCTTTCCCCTAACCTCGTTCACTCGCCTCGTCCTCTGCCTTTCCTCTCAGTTTGTCCGCCCCCACCCCCACCCATCGTCCTCTCCCCTCGCACCTCGTCCTCTCCCCTTCCTCTCCCCTCGCATCTCGTCCGCCCGCCTCGTCCTCGGCCTCTCCTCTCACTTTGTCCGCCCCCCCCCCTCGTCCTGTCCTCTCCACGTGTATACTCCACTCCGCTCCCCTTCCTCCCTCACTTTCTCATCCCCCCCCTTCTCTCCCCCACCCCACCCCCTCTTCCGCGGATTGGAGTGGTCAGTCTCGCTGCAGCAGCGGTGCCCAGCGTTTTTGTTTTACACGGGAAACACGGGACCGCACACGACGCGGCCTCGAGGATGCCCACGACACGGTGGGCGGAGAGGCGAGGCTGAGGTACGTTGATTTCTTCGGTTCGACATGCGAGCGCCTTGCCCGAGCGAGCCATCGAACCTTCCCGAGCAATTCGCGCTCGGACGCTCGGACGTGTTGTGCCTGGTCTTGTCGCTCGCACGCATTCGTATCCTTCATCCTACTGATCGTCGGCCAGCTCCGCTCCTCCCCTCCCTTCTGGGGCGGTCTAGCCGACCCCTAGCAAACCATCCCCTTCCGTGACGCCCCCCTCGCCTCGCCCCAAGACGTATGTATGTTGCTGGAGGGAAGTTTGATAGGCGGGGGTGACGACGTTACTGAAGGTGATGGCTTGCTAAGAGTCGGTTCGGTAGCGCCCAGATACTTCTCTGGTTGATGCGCGGATTTGCTACGACCACTCCCCCCCCTCGCCTCGTCCTCTGAGGTGGACACGGGGATGATGCAGACTTCGCAGATGCTGCGCCCACCAAGGGCGTGGAGTGCAGGTGGCCAAGGGTGCCCTCTCTGCCTGTGATGATGACGGCCTGGGGGGGAAGCCGCGTTTGCTTTCTCGCGGCAGGAGCCTGCACGAGCCGTGGCTTCGGCTGTGATGCACGCGAGGTGGCCGACGGGCACGGCAGGCGTGCCGTGTCCGCTCCCCCTTGTCGGGGGGTCGCCAGCACGAGCAGGCGAGCGGGAGCCGCGGCGAGGTCGGGCTGGCGCGCGTGGGAGTGATGCGCAGTGTGTGCTCCGGGGGACTTGAGCAAGCTGCATGCGGGAAGGATGATTCTATTCTCACCACCCACCAAACCCAGACCCCCTCGAGTAATGAAAAAATCATGACGGGGTCTTTTTCCTGATTTTCTGCCTCCAGGGGCCCTCACCGGGCCTCGGGAGCGTCAAAAAACGACTCAGGATGCAGAGCCGGTCATGGGGAAAGGGTCCAGACCTCTGGGGGTCGACGTAATGAAAAAATCATTACGTCGGGGGTCTGATTTCCAGTGGGGGGGGGTCGGGGCACATCGAAAAAAAACACATGTGGAACCCTCACCCCCCCCCCGAAACCCGAAATTCGGGTCTTCGGGTTGGGGTGGGGTGGTCTGGTAGGCAGTCACTCTTCCTGCGCACGGGAGACACGAGCAGTGGTAGACCAGCGACGGCGTCGTCCTGCCGTGGGTCCGACGTGCACTCGGTCACCCACGGGGCAGGCCCGGCGAGCATGCCGTCCGCATCTGCCACGGCCGTGGCGGCCGTGGCACGATGCAGCCACGGAGCGGCCACGAGGCAGCATGAAGAGAGAGAGCCATACGGTGGGGGCGTTCGTTAAGGAATGTGCCTAGGACTTAGTGGGCCCTGGATACCCAGACCCCCGACGTCATGATTTTTTCATGACGCGCCCCCCAGAGGTCCAGACCCTTTCCCTATGACCGGTATTTCGTCCTGAGTCGTTTTTTGACGCTCCCGAGGCCCGGTGAGGGCCCCGGGAGGCCGAAAATAGGGAAAAACCTCCCGTCGTGATTTTTTCATGACTCGAGGAGGTCTGGGAACGACAGGGCCGTTTTTTACTGGTTCCGTTTTGCCGTTTTTTTGCCGGTTCCGACGCCGTTTTTTTGCCGGTTCCGTCGCCGTTTTTTGACCGGTTCCGGCTCCGGTTCCAATCCTGGAGCCGTTTTTTTGCCGTTTCCGGTCGCCGTTTTTTTGCCGATTCCATTTTCAAGGGACATGTTTTGGAAAACGGTGAAAAAAAAGGCCCTTCCGTTTCCGGAGCCCACAAAGGCCCAGGGGGCTTCAGACCCTGGAGGATTCCTTATCCAATGAGGGCGGCGGTGGTACCCATGGCCGCTCCACGGTGGGAGTTCCGCGGGCTTCCAGGCCCTGGGTTCCTTATTCAGTGGTTCCTTATCCGGTCCAATGCCTTCACCGTGCAGTGCCCGAGAGACCCGGCACGCCAGCCCCCGCCGCAGGGGACCACGTGGGGCGGCGGATCCAAAGGACTTCGTCCTCTGCCGCCGCCATCCACCTTGAGCGCTGCAACGCGCAGGGGGCAGCGCGCGCTCGCGTGAAGGAGGTGAGGAGGAGAAGGAGGAGGAGGAGGAGGAGGAGGAGTAAAAATAAGACGAATAATATTAACACGCCAAATAGTAATAGTAAGAAACAAAAATAGTATTGATAACACTAGTAGTAGTAGTAGTAGTAGTAGTAGTAGTAGTAGTAGTAGTAGTAGTAGTAGTAGTAGTAGTAGTAGTAGTAGTAGTAGTAGTAGTAGCTAGTAGTAGTAGTAGTAGTAGTAGTAGCAGCAGTAGTAGTAGTAGTAGTCGTAGTAGTAGTAGTAGTAGTAGTAGTAGTAGTAGTAGTAGTAGTAGTAGTAGTAGTTAGTAGTAGTAGTAGTAGTAGTAGTAGTAGTAGTAGTAGTAGTAGTAGTAGTAGTAGTAGTAGTAGTAGTAGTAGTAGTAGTAGTAGTAGTTCTAGTAGTAGTAGTAGTAGTAGTAGTAGTAGTAGTAGTAGTAGTAGTAGTAGTAGTAGTAGTAGTAGTAGTAGTAGTAGTAGTAGTAGTAGTAGTAGTAGTAGTAGTAGTAGTAGTAGTAGTAGTAGTAGTAGTAGTAGTGGTAGTGGTAGTAGTAGTAGTTGTAGTAACTTTAGTAGTAGTAGTAGTAGTAGTAGGAGTAGTAGTAGTAGTGGTAGTAGTAGTGAGTAGTAGTAGTAGTGAGTAGTAGTAGTGGTAGTAGCAGTAGTAGTAGCAGTAGTAGTAGTAGTAGTAGGTCGTAGTAGTAGGCCGTAGTAGTAAGCAGAAGAACTCATATTTTTTTTACTTTTGGTTAAATAATAAGAAGAAACAAAAGGAGGAGGAGGACAGGAGGACTCGGCAGGAGGAGGAGGAGGAGGAGGAGGAGGAGGAAGATGAGGAGGAGCAGTAGGACCTCGTCCCCTGCCTCGTCCTCCTTCTTCTCCTCCTCCCCCTCCTCCTCCACCTCCTCCTCCTCCTTCCCCCCATCACTTACTCCCCTCGCCCCCGCACGGCGGCCAGGAAGCTGAGGGACACAACCATGGATGCCAGCTCTGGCGCCGAGGGCCCACCCCAGCAGATAGGAGAGGGCAGGGCAGGGCTGGAGAGACAGCAGATTTGAAAGATGGGACAGGGCGGATTTTTTGCTGGGCCCTTCTGGATGTTGTGCCGCGTCACCACGGCCAGCACGTGCCTTGTCGCCACGGGGTCTGGGGGCCGATCTTCAGCGGATTTGAGGGTTGCCAGCGTCGCGGGCACAGCGTCGCTGACCCCACGCGTGCGCTGGACCGCCCGGAGCGGTCTCCCTCTTGCTTCTGTCTCTCCTCGTCTCCACAAGCAGTGCAGGCGTGGGAGGGCGGGCATCGCAGGCAGAGTGGTGGAGGGAGGGAGGGAGGAGGGAGGAGGCAGAAGGGAGGAGGAGGAGGGAGGAGGAGGAGGGAGGGAGGAGGGAGGAGGAGGGAGGAGCGGAGAGGGAGGAGGAGGAGGGAGGAGGGAGGGAGGAGGAGGGTGGGAGCCACGCAGGTTCCAGCCCCTCCCCAGGCTCTGCACCGGACCGCGCGCGCGCCTCGCAGGAGCGGGGCTGCCGGAGATCGGCGGGCCAGCCCCTCGCTCCGTCGGCTGCTCGTGGAGGCGCCCCGAGCCTCCGGCGGGGCCGCCGGAGCGGCGCGACCCCCGAGCGCAAAAGGAGGAGGAGGAGGAGGAGGAGGAGGAGGAGGAGGAGGAGGAGGTAGGAGGAGGAGGAGGGGGGGGAGGAGGAGGCGGAGGAGGAGGAGGAGGAGGAGGAGGAGGAGCGGGCGCGGGCGCCTCTGCTGGGCCTCCCATAGGCGGCTCTGGCTGGGGGCGCCTTGCTGAATGGGGCCCCGGTGCGTTCGCCCGACGCCTCATCGACGCGCGGGCTATTACACGCCCCAGGGCGCGCACGGGCGGGCCTCTCCTCATCCTCCTCCTCCTCCTCATCCTCTCCTCCGCCTCCTCCTATCCCCCTCCTCCCTCTCCTTCTCTTCCTCCTCCTCCTCCTCCTCCTCCTTCTCCTCCTTCCCCTCCTCCTCCTCCTCCTCCCTCGAAGCACGGGCACCTGCCTTGGCATCGCTCGGGCGTGTGCATTTTTTCCTCGGCGAGGACCATCGAGGAGCACCCTTGATCTTGTGGCGAAAAAGCCACGCACGAGACCGAAAAGAACGCGGGAAGTGGACGTCCGAGCGAGGGCCAGGTGCGCAGAAGCATGCCGTCGACCCGGAGGACCAGGTCGGCCCTGCCAGCTCAAGGGTAGCCTCGCGTCCCGTGCCTCGCGACACGTTCGCCTTCTTGCACTCCTGTGGCGATGTGGCCCTCGGAGGGGTCTCGTGTCCTCTCGCGCGTCCTGTCCAATCACGTCCGCCTGTATCACACACTTTCGGAGGTCCGCGCGGATATCCTGGGTCAGCGTCGGACCACCCTGGCGCCGCCCCTGGCGCGCTCCGCGCGCCAGGAGCGTGGGCGCAGCGCCGACACAAGCAATCCGCGCGGGCCTCCGAAAGTCCATGTGTGTGTGTGTGTGTGCAGAAGTTTCTTCCCCTGCGCCATCTCACATGACGAACCAACAACACACACCCATACCCATAGGGGGGTCGGCGAGGGCTATGGGTGCGTGTTGTCGGATGGGGGTCCCCGTTCGAACGGGAGCGTTCCCCAGGGTCCGACAACCCGCACCCATACCCCTAGCCAGTCCTCCTCCCAACAACCCCCTATGGGTATGGGTGTGTGTTGTTCGTTCGTCATCACAGGCTGACATGACGGGCCCCGGCGTGCCGCAGTCTGCGCTGCTGAGGAGGAGCTCGATCCCCCCGCAGCGGGAGGACTTCGAGCTGGACGACTTCGAGGCGGTCGGGAAGGCGCTGGGCCGTGGAGCCTTCGGCTACGTGAGCAAAGTGAAGCAGAAGCACACTGGCAAGATCTTCGCGATGAAGGTGATGTCCAAGACGAAGATCGAGGAGCAGAGCCTGGAGGAAAACATCGAGCGAGAGATCAGCACGCAGCAGACGCTGGGGCACCCGAACATCCTGCGCCTGTACAAGTACTTCGAGGACCAGGAGGACATCCACCTGCTCCTGGAGTACGCGCCGAACGGCTCGCTGTTCGACCTGCTCAGAGACCATCGCAAGGCTCGAGTGAGAGAAAACGGCATGAGCACAGTTTTTCGGAGCTCCGCGCGGGTTTCTTGGATCGCCGCTGGACCCCCCTCCGCGCCAGGGAGGTGGGCCCAGCGAAAGATTATGCTGACCTTGGGGGCGTTGGTTGAGGAATGTGCCCAGGAGACTTCAGACCCTGGAGGGTTCCCTGTCGGAGGAGGGCGGCAATGACATCCAAGGCCAATCCGCGATTGGGGCCCCACCGGCTTCCAGACCCTGGATTCCTTGTCCAACGGCTCCTTACATGCCCTCACCCTATGCCGTCGCTTCTTGTCCTCAAGGCGGCCGCGGCCTCTGGCGAGGCGTGCCAGGGCCTCCCCGAGGACCGGGCCGCGTGCATGTTCGGCGACGTGGCGGGGGCCCTCCACTTCCTCCACTGCAACGGCGTGGTCCACCGGGACCTGAAGCCAGAGAACATACTCATCTGCGAGGAGCAGAGTCAAGGGAGAAAAAAAAGAACACCCGGACCAGACCAGTTGCGTTTACTAAACGGCCTTGGGCGTCTACTGAACAGCCCTGCCCTGTTCGATTCCTTCTGAACGATTTCAAAAAAGAGTCAGGGGACGATGTTCCTATCATTTGTGGACCATTTGGGGGCATTTTTCGACTATGTTTTAACCATTTGGGGGTATTGCTCGACTATTCTTCAATTGTTCGTCCAATTATCCCGGCAAAGCAAACTAACAGCGATGTGTAGAAGCATATCTGGAAGCATTGCCCTTGAGATTCATGTAGGAGTCCTGGTGTGGAATTCTGGTGTCCTCGCAGTCGCTCGTCCTCCTGCTCGTCCTCGCATGTAGGAGTCCTCGTCCTCCTCCTCCTCCTCCTGCTCGTCCTCCTTCTCTTGCTCCTCCTCCTCCTCGTGCTCGTCCTCGTCCTCCTCGTCTTGCTCGTCCCCCTCCTCCTCGTGCTCTTGCCCCTGCTCCTCCTACAGTTGGCTCCGGGCATTGAAAATGTGGCCCGGGAATGGAGTTCTGGGAACTCGAAGAGCACGAAGTAGCCTACAGTTGGCTCCGGGCATGCAGAATGTGGCCCGGGAATGGAGTCCTGGGACCTCGAAGACCACGAAGTGTGTAACCGTTTGCTTCAAACGACTTCCGCGGATCCCTGTCCGGATGCCGCCCAGACCCCCTTGGGGAGTCATGATGTTCTCTTTTTGACCCTACTAGAGACCTGTCAGTCTTCGCTGTTAGGTAAAATCCCCCTGTAGGAGGAGGAGGAGGAGGAGGAGGAGGAGGAGGAGGAGGAGGAGGAGGAGGAGGAGGAGGAGGAGGAGGAGGAGGAGGGGGGGGGGAGGGGGAGGAGGAGGAGGGGGAGGGGGAGGAGGAGGGGGGAGGAGGAGGAGGAGGAGGAGGTCCCCTCACCCGGCGGCGAGGCCCGTACTGGGGACCTCGAGGCCGCGCGGCACGGTCGGCCGCCCCCCCTGGGGCGCCGGGGGGCCCCCGCGAGGACGACGTGGTGAAGCTGGCCGACTTCGGCTGGTGCAACCAGCTCGCGGCGGAGAGCAGCTCGGAGTCCTAGAGATTGACACCAACACCAAGATCGGCGGTGTGCCTCCACCGAGGGAAGACGATCCCGATCTCGGTGATGGTGGTAATATTCTGGCTTCCAAGGTGACCGGAATATTACCACCAACACCGAAATCTAAGATCCTCATCACCCTGTGGAGGCAAACCCCTGTGCTGGTGTTGGTGCCAATTTCCAGGCCTCCAATCGGCGGACGAAGAACGGTATAAGATAAACTTCTTCGCTGTCGGGGGCGCCTGTCCCTGGGCGGCTGGAGAGTTTTTGTACCCCTACGGTACCACCGTAAGGGTACGGTAGGTTCGCGTCGTGTCGACCAGCGGCGACCCCAGCGCGGGCGTTCAAGGTTGAACGCCGCCGGCGACCCAGAATCGATCGATGTTGAACGATCGGACGTTGCGGCAGCGGCCGATCGTTCAAGGTTGAACGATCCCTGCGGTGTCAAAAACCAACGCTGGGGTCGGCACGACACGAACCTGCCGTATAAGATAAACTTTTTCGCTGTCGGGGGGGTGCCTGTCCCTGGGCGGCTGGACAGTTTTTGTTACCCCTACGGTTCCACCGTAGGGGTAACAAAAACTTTCCAGCCGCCCTGGGACAGGCGCCCCCGACAGCGGAAAGGTGTATTTTCAACCGTGCTTCGCCCGTGAAGGAGAGCGCGGGCCGCAACACCTTCTGCGGCACCTGGGAGTTCAGGAGGGAAAAAACACACAGACACCATGAATCGTCGGCTCCCAGGGAAATGTGGGAAAATATGGGGACCTGGGGGGGATAAGACAGACACCCAGAAACCTATGGGAAAATATATGGGGAACCTTTTTTATTAGTGTGTGTCTGTTGGTGTGTCCTGTGGGGCCCCTTCAGGAGTACCTCTCGCCGGAGATGATCAACAGCGAGCCGCACGACTGCAGCGTGGACGCGTGGGCCTCGGGGGTGCTCCTCTTCGAGATGCTCGTGGGGCGCTCGCCCTTCGCCGCGAGCAGCTACGTGCAGGCGCTCGGCAGGATCTCGCGGGTGGCGTACGAGTTCCCGGACCCCCGGAGAAGCGAGGAGGAGGAGGAGGAGGAGCAGGAGGAGGAGGAGGAGGAGGAGGAGGAGGAGGAGGAGGAGGAGGAGGAGGAGAGAGGAGGAGGAGGAGGAGGAGGGGAGGGGGAGGAGTAGGAGGCGGAGGAGGAGGAGGCGGAGGAGGAGGAGAGGAGCGGTGACCACACCGTGCGGGGAGTCGGTGGGGATTCGGGGTCACCGCGCGGTTTGGGGACTCGGGTGCCTCTCCGAGGACGCCTCGGGCGACGGGGGCCTCCGGGGCCCCAAAGCCGTGCGGTGACGGACCGTGCGGTGAGGTCTCTCGGGGTTCCGAGGTCACCGCACGGTCTGTCACCGCACCGTTTCGGGGCTCCAAATGCACGGCGCGCGCCGCGCGCCAGGGACGGGAGTGCAGTGCCGATCCGAGGCCGAGCGCCGCCGGTGGCCTTGGCGTCGAAGGAGCCGTGCTATGTCGGAAAAAGCCGCGCTCGTTCCAGTGCGAACGGCTTCCACGCGGTGCAAGAAGCCAGCGCCCAGGTCGGCGCGACACGAACGTGCCGCAGCAGTGCTTGCACGGAAGGGGTCCTGGCGGAAATGAAGAGATTTGGCGAAGGTGTACCGTCGATGTTGGCAGCCGGCCGGGTTCCCGGGTTCCTGGTTCTGGGTTCCCGGGTTCCTGGTTATTGGTTCCAGGCCGGTTTCGGTGGGTTCCAGGTTCCGGGGTTCCTGGTCGATCTCTTTATCGATCAAACCATCCAGTGACTGGGGTTTTTCTTTGCGGTGTACCCAGACCCCCGACGTCATGATTTTTTCATGACGCGACCCCCAGAGGTCTGTACCCATTCCCCGGGACCTGTTTTTCATCCGGAGTCGTTCTTTGACGCTCCCGAGGTCCGGTAAGGGCCCCCAGAGGCCGAAAATTGCCCAAACCCCCCCGTCAACCCTCTTTGGTTGGGTATTCGTTTTGAATAGAGCACTGCGGTCTCCAGTCCTCCTCCTCCTCCCGCCTCCCGTCTCCCGCTCCCCTCTTGTCTCCTCTTGCTTTGTGCGGACCTCGCCGTCCTTGGAAGGCTGCGATCCTCGAAACTGTCGCCACTTTCGAGGGCTGCTGGTGGGCCCAGCGGAGTGAGGCACCGCGAGGATCTGAGCGGGACCTCCCCGTCCCTGGGGGGCTGCGATCTGCGACAGTGTCGCCACTTTCGAGGATTGCTAGTGGGTCCCGTGGACTGAGGCACCGCGGGGATCTGAGCGGGACCTCCCCGTCCCTGGGGGGCTGCGATCTGCGACACTGCCGCCACTTTCGAGGGCTGCTGGTGGGTCCCACAGACTGAGGCACCGCGGGGATCTGAACGGGACCTCCCCGTCCCTGGGGGCTGCGATCTGCGGAATTGTCGCCATTTTCGAGGGCTGCTGGTGGGCCCAGCGGAGTGAGGCACCGCGGGGATCTGAGCGGGACCTCTCCGTCCCTGGGGGGCTGCGATCTGCGGAATTGTCGCCATTTTCGAGGGCTGCTGGCGGGTCCAGCGGAGTGAGGCACCGCGGGGATCTGAGCGGGACCTCGCCGTCCTTGGGGGGCTGCGATCTGCGAAACCGTCGCCACTTTCGAGGGCTGCTGGTGTGTCCCGTGGACTGAGGCACCGCGGGGATCTGAGCGGGACCTCCCCTTCCCTGGGGGGCTGCGATCTGCGACACTGCCGCCACTTTCGAGGGCTGCTGGTGGGTCCTACAGACTGAGGCACCGCGGGGATCTGAGCGGGACCTCCCCGTCCTTGGGGGCTGCGATCTGCGGAATTGTCCCCATTTTCGAGGGCTGCTGGCGGGTCCAGCGGAGTGAGGCACCGCGGGGATCTGAGCGGGACCTCGCCGTCCTTGGGGGGCTGCGATCTGCGGAATTGTCGCCACTTTCGAGGGCTGCTGGTGGGTCCCGTGGACTGAGGCACCACGGGGATCTGAGCGGGACCTCCCCGTCCCTGGGGGGCTGCGATCTGCGACACTGTCGCCATTTTCGAGGGCTGCTGGTGGGCTTGCCACTTTTGAAGGCTGTTGGTGGGTCCAGCGGAGTGAGGCACTGCGCAGACCTGAGCGGGGCCTCGCCGTCCTTGGGGGGCATGTCATGTTGTTGCTGCCCCCGCCGACGTTTCAAGCCCCTTGCCCACCGTCTCCTTTCGGACCTTGCGTCTTCTTTAGTGACTCAGGGGTTCACTTAGTTACTCATCGTGTTTCCCTTGATTGGGGACCTGCGATCCTTTCGAATGCAGCTCGCAGAAATATATGCGTCCATGTCACGTCGCCGCCTTCTCGTCAAATCTCTCAAGCTGCTCCTGCCCCGCATTGCGCAGGGGTTGGGTACGTCGCCAAGGTATTTTTTACGACGCGATCATATCTGGGAACCATTCAATCAATGATTGGGGTGTTTCTCTGGTGTTTATCTGGAAACCCATTCCCCGGGACCGGTTCTTCATCCTGCGTCTTTCTTTGATGCTCCCGAGGGCTGGTAAGGGCCCCCAGAGGCCGAAAATTTTGGAGTCCCGAAACGGTGCGGTGACGGACCGTGCGGTGACCTCGAACCCCCCCAAGACATTACAGCACGGTCCGCCACCGCACGGTCTTGGGACCCCGGAGGCCCCCGTCGTCCGAGACGTCCTCGGAGAGGGACCCGAGTCCCCAAACCGTGCGGTGACCCCGAATCCCCACCGGCTCACCGCACGGTGCGGTCACCGCACCGTTTGGGGGCCCCCGAAAAATGGCCCAAAAAACCTCCCGTCCTGATTTTCTTTCTACGGCGCGATCACGTCCGGGAGCCATGCAGTGATCGGGGTGCTTCCCTGGTGCAATGGAGGATGACGATTAATAAATGACCGGGGGTCGTGTTCACGCGGCGGCGCCCGGGATGACGATCAGAAAAAACCGGCCGCGGGCTGGAAAACTATGTTTTCAATCTTTCTCCTCCAGTCAGAAAATGGTGCAGAAATATAGCAGGACACTATTTTTTTCTCGTAGTCGTTATCCCGCATTAGTCTTGCATTAGTCGTTATCCCGCATTAGTCATTATTCCCCCCATTTTTTATTAGTCGTTATCCCGCATTAGTTTTGCTCGCAGGACCACGTCTCGGCGCCCGCCCGGGACCTCGTGGGCCGGCTGCTCGTGAAGGAGCCGGGCCAGCGCCTCGGGCTGGGGCAGGCGGCCGAGCACCCGTGGGTGCGGGAGCCCCGCCGCCGCCGCCGCCCCCAGACGCCGGGCGGTGTCTCTGCGTGCGGCCTCATGCACGGAAGGATTATACACTGCTCGCTTCTCACTCCTCGAGAAGGTGCTTTGATTTTTGCTGGGGGGGCCAGAACCCTTTTTCGGTTCTGATGGTGCCATCCTGGGCTGCTCCATGCTGGATTGCTTGCCCAGGGTCACTCTTACGTCTAGCCGATGGAAGGATTATATACATTGTTCGTTTCTAATCATTCGAAAAAGTGCTTTGATTTTTTTGGGGGGCCAGAACCCTTTTTCAGTTCTAATTGCATTGTTCTATCCTGGGCCTTGTCCTGGCCACTGGGGGGCCAGGAGAGGAGCACGAGTGTGCTGCTCCATGCTGGAATCGACTGCACGTAAGAGTCACCCTGCGCCGGAGTGACCTTTGGTGCGGGCTCATCGGGTTCCCCCCGATCGCCGAGCGCGGTGCGATATAAGTGCCCCGCGCCCTTGGGTTTGGCTCCCTCGCGCCCCCAGAAGCTGCGCACCAGAGGTCACTCTTACCCAGGGTCACTATTACGTCTAGCCGATGGAAGGATTATACATTGTTCGTTTCCAATTATTCGAAAAAGTTCTTCGACTTTGGGGGGGCCAAGACCCTTTTTCAGTTCTGATTGTTCCATCCTGGCCACTGGGGGGCCACGAAATGAGCACGATTAGAAATGAACGACGTGAACAGGAGGAATATTCAAAAATAGTCAAACAATAGTATGTGGACGACTTTTTGAGCATTTGTTAGGATTATTACTATGATGATGATGATGATGATGATGAGGAGGAGGAGGAGGAGGAGGAGGAGGAGGATGAGGATGAGGATGAGGATGAGGATGAGGATGAGGATGAGGATGAGGATGATGATGATGATGATGATGATGATTATTATTATTATGGGGCATGCTTTGCATCTTTTTGCGTTTTTCGCCCAAAATCCGCCTGTGGGGGGACACGCTGGACCCAAATCTGGCGTGTCTGTAATCGTTTATGTATTCATTGTTGTGCCGACCGGCGCGGGCCCCCCCCACCCCCACCCCACCCCCCATGGATCGGGGCTGGACAGAACCCCCAACAGTGACACGTCGATTAGTGAATTGTCCGTTTTCGGTTCTCGAGAGGGCGCCGTGGCCGTCATTTTCCAGGCTTGCGCCCGCCAGGTTTGGGCCTCAGCTTGTTTTCACTAAACCACGTTTTGCTAAAGGGGGGTCTGTCCATCCCCGAATGGAGTAGATCTTGGCTGTTGTTTGGCTCCTGTTTCCAGCCGGTGGGGTCTCCCCCCAGAGGCCGCACTGCTGCACACAGTCGCACCAGGCAGAGGTTCAGAGCCAGACCCTCTCCCCCTCCCCTCCTTCCGCCCAATGTCGAAACGCCGAATAAGAAGAACGCTCACTTTTTGTTGCTGTTCAATGCTGGAAGGATTCGAGAAGGATGCTCGAAGGAGGAGCGCGGGGGGTGCGGAAACGGAGGAAGTTCAGGAGCAGGGGGTGGACGAACCGCCAGTTCAGAGGCTGGCGGGGAGTTGTTTCCAACGTTCTGGGCTTCCCAGTTCTTGCTGCCGTTGTGCCCCCTCGACCCCGCGACCCATGTGAGGCCCTCTTTGCAGGGAACTCCGATCGCATATGCTCTGTTCAATGCTCGAGGGAATGGCAAGCTGCGTAAGCACAGATCTTCGGAGTTCCGCACGGATCTCCTGCATCGGCGCTGGACCCCCCCCCCGGCGGCACCTCGGCGCCGCCCCCGGCACGCGGAAGGCGCCAGGGACGGGGCGGCGCCGCTCCGCGCGGACCTCCCACAGCTTCTGGTGCAAGTTCCTGCCCGGCGCTGGAGCCCGAGGTGGTCCGCGGGGGGGAGAGGCTGGTCCGACAGCCGTCCTCCGTGATTCTTGTCCATGGGCGCCGGAGGCCTCGGCCGCCGCCGCCGTCGCCGCCGTCGCCGCTGCCGCCGCCGCCGAGGACGAGGACGAGGACGAGGGCGACGGCGAGGACGAGGGCGAGGGCGAGGGCAACGACGGCGACCTCGACGCCGACGCCGACGCCGACGCCGACGCCCACGACGACGACGCCGACGCCGACGACGGCGCCGACGCCGACGACGGCGAAAGCGACGACGCCGCCGCGCGCGGCGATCGGCGGGCGGCGCGCGCGCGGCCGCGCCCGCCCCCGCCGACGCCCCTCGGCGCAGGACGCTGCCGGCCGCCGCGGCGGCGGCGCCCCGCGGGGCGCCGAGGCCTCGGGGCGCGAGGCGGCGGAGGCCCGCGGCGGCGAGGCGCGGGCGGGGCCCGGCGAGGGGGCGCGCGCCGCCGCCGGGGAGGCGCAGGGCGGGTCGAGCCCGGAGGGCGCCGCGGAGGACACGGGTCGGAGGCGTCGCCGTCGTCGACCTTCGACCCTCGACGTCGTCGTCGTCGTCGTCCTCGACCCTCGACCCTCGACCCTCGACCCTCGACCCTCGACCCTCGACCCTCGAACGTCGTTGTCGTCGTCGTCGTCGTCCTCGTCCTCGTCGTCGTCGTCGTCGTCGTCGTCGTCGTCGTCGTCGTCGCAGGAGGACACGGGTCGGAGGCCGCGTAACCTTCAGACGGGCCTGTCCCTCTACAAGGGGGGGGTATGCAAAACCGGGCAAAAAATCGTCTGGAAGTGACGTTTTGGCAGTGTCTGGGCATTTTGGGGGGTATTTGTTGGGCTATTGTTTCATTTTTCGTCCAAAATCCGCCTGTACGGGGACAGGCCCGACTTAAGCGTAATGTGGGGGCCCATGCCAAGAAATACCCTGCCTGCTTCCAGGGTGCCCTGGGTTTCTTGGGTTGCGAAGGTTTTGCGATGGGAAGCGTGACGTTCCCACACCAAGAATCCATGGACGTCCTGGGGTCTCAGGCTTGGGTTTCTTGTGGAAGGTTTCTTGTGGACTGGCTGGCCTTCACTGTAATGTGGGAGGGGGGGCCGCGGCTCAAGAGACGGGGGTCAATGCAAACGGGGGTCCATCATAGCGCCAAACCTTGCAGGATCCTTCCGAGCCAGGGTTGCATTGACCCGGGCTGGGGCGCGGAGTCCTGCAGGATCTTGCAGGATCCTGCAGAGCCTGACTGGCCCGGGTCCGGATTGACCTGGGTCAGTAGATCCCCGACACGGGCGGGGTCGATTACACGAAGAGTGACCCTTCGCCGGAGTGACCTGTGATGCGGGGCCACTGGGGTCCCCCGGTCGCCGAACGCGATGCGGCAGTGGCGTATGGCGCGCTTGTGTTTGGCCCCCCCCCCCGCGGCCCCCAAGAAACCGCGCACCAGAGGTCACTCTTGCGTGCTTAGTCTTGCGTGTAGCCGAGAGGACTCTGGCGGATGTTTCGCACCAAGGGAGGAGGGAAACGAGGAGGAGGAGGAGGAGGAGGAGGAGGAGGAGGAGGAGGAGAACGAATGGACGAACGAACGAATGAACGAATGACTCTGCAGAGGCGTGTCGGCGAGATCGTGCGCTTTGCGCCAGGACTGGGCAGACTGCGGTCCGGAGCTCCTGGGCGCGTCGCTCTGCCGGCTCTGGCCCGCCTCGCCTCGGCGCGGCACGCGGTCCACGACCCGGCCCCCACGCGCCAACGTCCCGAGCTTCTCCAAGCCTCCCGCCCCGCGGAGCGTGGCGACGTGCCATCCGCTTGCAGGGCACAGCGTGCCACCGGGGCCGCCGCGGCGACACGCCGAGCAGAAGCTCTTGACCGCACGCCTGCTCTCGCGACTGGTCAGTTCGCCTCTGGAGGCCTCGGGGCGCGGGGCCGAGGAGGACTTCCGACACGCGTGGCGCGAGGCAGTCGCTGCACTCTCCAGCTCCCGCCCACCCCGCTACCTCGGATGAGAGGCCCGACGATGTCAAGGCCGGGCACGGCTGTGGGGTCGGGGCAAAATTTGGGGGGCCCGAGCTCCAACTCGCGTGGTCCCCCCACGGGCAGGCAGGAGAGAGGCGAGGGAGGCCTTCCACGGGGGCCTGGGGCAGGCGAGAGAGAAGCGAGGGCACCAGCGGGGGGACCAGGGAGGGGAGGGGACAGCCTAAACATGCAAAAACAAATCCTCCTCCTCCTCCTCCTCCTCCTCCTCCTCCTCCTCCTCCTCCTCCTCCCTCCTCCTCCTCCTCCTCCTCCTCCTCCCTTCAAGAGCTCAGCGGAAACGTGCAGGCAGAACAGCCTCGGGTCGGTCCAGGGTCCCTCGTTATGAGGGGGGTGGGGGGGGGAAAAGGAACAGGCCATCTCTGTCCTCCTCCTCCTCCTCCTCCTCCTCCTCCTCCTCCTCCTCCTCCTCCCTTTAAGAACAGGAACAGGCCATCTGCTGCCCCTCTGCCAGAAAGAAAATGGGCCTTTGGGTACCTGAGATCCCAGGGATGACATGCAGTAGGACGGGGAGGTCGAGGTCGAGGGGCGAGGAGCAGTGGCAGAAGCGGGCGCGAGGGTTGGACGAGGCTCCATCTGTGCACTACGAGTGCTTCTCCTGCTTCCTCTGGAGGTACCCACCGCACAGGAGCTATTCGCCGTCGCCCCAGTCGGTGCCTGAGTAGGAGTGGGAGTTCTGATCAATGGAGCTTTACAGATGCCGCCTCGGGGCAGTTCCGTCGTGGGAGAGAGCGGCAAGCGGTTTTTGGCAGTTTTTTCGGCCTCCAGTGGCCGTCGCCGGGCCCCCGGGGCCGTCAAAAAGCGATGAGAGAAGCCAGTCTCGGGAAAGTTTCCAGACCTTGGCGGGTCCACATTTTTTGTAACATCACGACGTCGATGGAGTTTGGGGAGGGAGATCACGACAAGGAGGAGCAGAAAGAGGAGGAGGAAGAGGAGGAGGAGGAGGAGGAGGAGGAGGAGGAGGAGGACGGAGGAGGAGGAGGAGGAGGAGGAGGAGGAGGAGAGGAGGAGGAGGAGGACGGAGGAGGAGGAGGAGGAGGGGGAGGAGGAGGAGGAGGAGGAGGAGGAGGAGGAGGAGGAGGAGGAGGAGGAGGAGGAGGAGGACGGAGGAGGAGGAGGAGGAGGAGGAGGAGAGGAGGAGGAGGAGGAGGACGGAGGAGGAGGAGGAGGGGGAGGAGGAGGAGGAGGAGGAGGAGGAGGAGGGGAGGAGGAGGAGGAGGAGGAGGAGGAGGAGGAGGAGGAGGAGGAGGAGCAGGAGCAGGAGGAGGAGGAGCAGGAGGAGGAGGAGGAGGGGGAGGAAGAACCTTCGAAATTCGATGTTTTCAGGCGTCTTCGTCGGATCCCAGAGGTTGTCTGGATGCTTTCCAGGCGTGCGCCTCGCACAGGTCGTCGCAAAGGGGGGCCCGGGTCGTCGGGCGGCGGCCGCCAGAGGCCCGAGGCATGACCTCAAAGCAAGCGGGCAAGCACATAACCGCAGGAGGTCTTTAGCAGTTTGCTCCCTCGGGGGGGCCCTTCTCTGAAGTCGGGCCTGTCCCTCCACAGGAGGGAGATTCGCACATGGTCCAAAAATGGTCCGGGGATGATGTTTTGGCAAGTGTCGAATCTGTTTGGAGCATGTTTGCATCATTGATTCTTGTCCAGGATCTGCCTGTAGGGGGACACGCCCGACCTAGCCCTTGCCAGATCCCGGGCCCGTCACACGACCATTTCTATAGAACGAAAAGCCGGTCCTTGACGAAGCGATTTCCGGTGATCATCAGGACATTTTTGATCGGGAGCCTTGAGACGGGGGTCAATGCAAATGGGGGTCAGCCAGAGCGCCAGATCTTTCAGGATCCTGCGAAGACCCCCTCTGGCTGACCCGGGTTTGCGAGCCGCTCGTGGCCGCGAGGCGGCATATTGGCTGACCCGGGTTTGGATTGAGTTGCTTAAGCCTGCGTTGGAGTTTTTTTTCCTGCGTTGCAGTTTTTTGGTTTCCTGCTGACCCGGGTCTGGATTGACCCGGGTCAGAAGATCCCCGATTTGAGCCGAACGTGCGCTCACCCCGTTCGGCCCTCGCGACCTCGGCGGGGTCGTCTTGGCGGGCTTCGGTGGACGAGCACACGTTGGCGCCTTGGCGCACGCTCTGAGTTCTAGGGGTCGTCAAGTGGGAGGCGACGATAGGGGCGAATGGCCCAGGGGGGGAGCAACACATGTACTGCGGGATGACGATTAATAGAGAAAATGGGAGAGAACGATTAAACACATAGTTTTTTTTCTGCTATGTCTGCACAATTTTTTGACTGGAGGAGAACGCTTAACAAAAATAGTTATCCAGCCCGCGGCCGGTTTTTTCTAATCGTCATCCCGGGCGCCGCCGCGTGAACACGACCCCCGGTCATTTATTCATCGTCATCCTCCATGATCCAGGGGTGCCGATGATCTATGTCTTCGACAAGGCTCCCGGGCGACGACGTGCAATGCCTGTTCCTGGGCTACTCGCCCCCCCCATCGTCGCCGCCGATCGAGGCCTCCGGGGAGCCGCGCTGCGAGCAAGCGACGACATCGGAGCTCCGGGGGGCGTCGGGCGCCCGCCGTGCTCGGGGGACGCTGCCCGGTGCGTCGCGGCGGCGGCGGCGCCTGCGACACGCCCTGCCCTCAAAGGTTGAGCGGCTCCTCGCCCCTGCGGATGCGCTGGGGGGCGGGAAACGCGTCGCACTGGAGGTATGGAAGCACCTCCTCCTCCTCCTCCTCCTCCTCCTCCTCCTCCTCCTCCTCCTCCTCGTCCTCCTCCTCCCCTTCATCCCTCCTCCTCTTCCTCCTCCCTCTCTTCCTCCTCCTCCTCCTTCTCCTCTTCCTCCTCCTTCTTTTCCCCCTGCTCTTCATTTTCCGGGATGCCGATGGCGCGTCGCGCCGACGCGCGGTGGGCTCGAGCCAGCGGCGCGGATCGGTGAGCAAGCGCTCCTCGCAGGTGTCCTCGGCTCGTCTCGTGGCGCCAACATCGCAGAGCGGGTTTCGTTCGGAAGGCAATTCGATTGGGCCCGGAGTGTCCTGGAGAGTTGCGTTCCGGATTTCGAAGTAAACATCGTGCTGATTTTTGATCGTCAGGAATGAGGACTCAGCAACAATCCAAGTGACATTCACTTCGTTTTTCGCTCGCCGTTTCGGGGTTTTGCATTGACAGAAATCCACGCCAGAAAATACGCTGCAGCACGTCTGCAAGGTCGAGGAGAAGGAGGAGGAGGAGGAGGAGGAGGAGGAGGAGGAAAGGGAGGAGGAGAAGGAGAAGGAGGAGGAGGAGGAGGAAAAGGAGTTCTGGAGTTCTGGATGTAGCGACTAGGTCGGGGACAAACTACTTAAACGACAGATTTCTGCTTCTTGGCTAGCTCAGCGCTGCTGTAAGCTTTGGGCCAAATTCCACGCGAAATCATATCAAGATAATCGGACCGATTACCTTCAACACGCCCAACACACGGCTTTGCTAGTTCCTTAAGCTGCTGAGCTGCATAG